AAAATAACAAAAAGAATAGCAGAAAAAAACACCCTAACCGTTATCTGGAAGTTGAGTCATGGCAACTGAACCTCTTTCTTATTAGGTTGAAAAGGTCCACTACTCATCCAAGTAGCTTCAGTCTGAAGAGAATTGGTAGGTAACCCCCAATATCTCCTCCACATTGGTTTCACTTCTCTCTGATCTAAATAGGCTCCTTAGATGTGGTCTTAACCGACCAGATAGGCAGGATATAAATAAAATAAATAATAAATAAAAATAATAATAATTAGATGGACAAAGGACTGGGGCAGTGGGTGAAAATCCCATCCTCTGCAGTCCTTCTCCACCCATTGTAATGGGTCAATAACTGTTGTTAACAGTGGCCTTTCAAGTGGCTGTGGTCCTGCTCTTTCTGAGGATGGCTGAAAGGGCAGTGTGATCAACAGGAGACAGATTGTGTCTAAGGCTACCAACTCTGTTGAGTGAGGGATTTTCTGTATGCACATGCCTGGCCTCCCTGACCCCCCTCTCAAACCACCTCAAATCAGCAGTGTTCCTTCATTTGAAGGACAAAGGACACTCATTTGATGACCAAGATGTACTCATTTTGGACAGAGAAAGTAGGCGATTTGAGGGTTTGTTCTCGAAGGCTTTCACAGCTGGGATCCGATGGTTGTTCTGGGTTTTGCAGGCTGTTTGGCCGTGTCCTGGAGGTTTTTCTTCCTAATGTTTCACTATTGAGTACATCTGGGTCATCAAAGGAGTGTCCTTTGTCCTTCAAATGAAGGAACAGTGGCTGTTTGGTTTCTCCAATGTAAAGCTCCAAACACTCCTTTGCACTGGGCCACATATACTATATTGCTCCTGTTGTTTTGGTGCCCGGTCTATGGGGTGGACAAGTCTCTACCTTAGTGTGCTTGTGGGTTTAAAGTGCATGGGTATGTGGCCTTTACCAAAAATCCTTTTGAGCTTTGAGACACACTTGTCATGTAAGGAATGCCCAGGTTCCTGCATCGGCTCTGGATCTCTGACTGTTCCATTGTCCTGCTGGGTCAGGACACTGCCTTGTTAAAGGCCCATTTTGGATATCTACAGGCCTTAAGGGCTGTCTTGAGATGTGCGTGTTCTGGGTAAAGATCAAGATTCAGGAAGTACAGGCCTTCACCAACCACATAAACACAGTGGACCTACATATCAAGTTCACCTCGGAAGACACCAAAGACAACCTGCTGGCTCTCCTGGACTGTGCAATCACCATAGGATCCAACGGCAGATTAGGAATAGAAATCTGCACAAATCCTACACACACTGATCAATACCTGCAGTTTCACTCTCATCACACATTGCAACACAAACTAGGGGTCATCAGGACACTAAACCACAGAGCAAGAAACACCCCACCTCCACAGAAGCCAAGCAGAAGGAAGAGGAACATCTGAAGACAGTCTGTAAGGCCTGTGGATATCCAAAATGGGCCTTGACAAGGCAATGTCCTGACCCAGCAGGACAATGGAACAGTCTGAGACCCAGAGCCGACGGAAGAGCAAAACCTACAGGATGCCCCATTATTGTTGTGCTGCTTACACATTTTAGCTTGACACCTTTCTACATGGCTATCATTCTACTTTTAAATTTAAAAAAAAAACCTGTCCACACTTGTGGTTTTAACAGTAGATTGATAGCCAGCAATGCATAGAACAGCAGACTTGGAGAAATCAGGGTAGGGCTGAAGACTGGAGAGCTGGCTAGACCCATTTTTCCATCCAGTTAGGGAGTCTGTCTTTTAAACAGCCCGATTAAAGACAAAAGAGTCCAGCCCTTTGGTTACAGCTCTAATAGGTTAAAACAAGTAAGATTCAAGGGACTCATTGTGACCCCAGTGAAAAGTCACAGGTGCCGTTTCATCAGGGGGTTTAAGGGTGGATGGAGTGGATCTGGCCAACCCACGCTCAGCATTACCATGGGTATTGTTCCCGATGTGACCCAGTGTGGCAAATGGAATATTACTTGAAGCTTCGGGAGATGTGGATTCGTATTTTTTATTTTATATTGAGCTTGGCTTATGTTAAGTCCATTGAGACCAATGTAGTATAGTCATAGCACAGCTTGGAGAAGCTGCTTTTTGGACTACAACTTGCAAAATATCCTGGGCAGAATGAGTGCTGACAAAGGACATGCTCATCCTTCAAAGCAAAGTATTGGCCGAGGGTGCAGTTGCCACCCTCTTCCTTTCTAACGGCTGTAGGTAACAGGGCTCGGCAGGTTTCAGAGAGACTGCCCTTCCTTGCTACCTTCTCTTGTCTTGTCATCCAGTCCTCAGGACTAACCTGTTTGTTTCAGTGTGAGCTCGTCTGGACTGCATCCCATGAGACAAGGAACCACAGAAGCATCAGGAGAAAACCAAAATGGAGGTGTCTGCCACTTTCAACTCTGTTCTGCCTCATGACGCACCTGTGGCCACCCTAAGAAAAATTAGCAGTCATCATGACTCAAGGACCCAGCAATGGGGAGAGTACCTCAGATTTAGGGGGAAACACTCCTGGGTCAGGCCATGAGCAACTTATACTGTAGTAAAAATGCTTTTAAGGAGAAATTTTAAGTCTGCCTCCACCTGCTATTGTGGAGCCAAACGGGATACTGCCTAGGTGTTCAAGGATCAAATAGACATCAGGGCCAAATTATTCTTTTATATTGAACCTTAATCCTCTCTCTCTCTCTCTCTCTCTCTCTGTGTGTGTGTGTGTGTGTGTAAAATCAACAATTAAGAAAACACCAAAAACAATTAATAAAAAGAAAATAATCCACAGAGGAAACTGTTTTTAGAAAAGGCTTTAAAACCCTGTAGAAATTTTAAAAGTTGTTTTTGGTGTGTGCACTCCAAAGAGATGAAAGGCTCAGCCAGCCTCTAAGGAAAAAGGATTCCAGACATAAGGGTTTAAATTTCCTTTCTAACATGAAGGCCACTGGTTGATCTCAGGCCAGGGAACACCTGGCAGGGTGGTTGTGACAATAAAGTCATCAAGTTTAGAAAAAAAAAGGAAGATGCTGGCTGAAAGGTCTTTTCCCATTGTTTTTGTTGCATGGAGGGAGATTTCTTGGCTGGGTTAACAATCTATCCAGCACTAACCAATCGTTCCTTCCCTGCCTATGAATTCAAAGAGAGCTCTGCCTCTCTGTGCCGTTTTCCTCTCTCTTAAGTCTGCAGGAGTCACTGGAGTCTATTGGTCTGTTTTCTGAAAGCAGTTGAGTTTGTGAGTTTGCTTTTTGATATATTCAAGTTTAAGTAAACTTTTTATTCTTTCTTTTACAAATTTCTCAGAGTGAGTTATTCAGACTGCAAGTGCCTGTTGATGAGAAAAGGGGTGGACTACTACGGGGAAGTTAAAGCTATTCTGCTCTGTGTACCCCTGCACTTCTGCTGTGCAACTAGAGGAATTTTACTAGAAATTCAAAACTCTGCAACACTCCTTCCTGCAGTTGTCCCCAGGGGATACAAAAGAAAATGGTGGTTTGCCAGTAGAGGAAAAAGATGATTCGGGCCCTCCCTGTTGCTTCTGGTAAAGGGGGCCCACTGGATCTCATTCAACTGCCGTGCATGTTCATAAGTGTGTGGAGGGATCGTTAGGACAGCTGGCTGCATAGCACACTTGAAGGTGTGAGCATAGCAGAGAGCAGTCCATCTCAAAGCACATACCTAACAGATTGTTTTATGGCCGAAACAACAACCCACCTCATTTCAATGGAACAGACGAAGCTGTCTTAGCATCAAGCCCAGCGGATATTTTTGGGACCCATCCAAGAAGTTCAAATGTAGTCCTTGAATTTGCAGAGAGATGAAGTTTCAAAACTGGGGTACAGTCAGAATGAATCTCTGCTATCACTGCTGTCATCTAGATTTGCCACCTTAAATCGAACAGCAGCAAAAAAATAATAATCCCTGTACCAGTAACAGTCGCCTGGTCATAGAGAAATTTGGCCCCTGAAGCTTCCCTCCCATTACCTTGCAATCAAAACTGATGCTCATGTGTGTTTGTGTGTGCACACACATGCTGTCAGGGTATAGAATTTTATAGGCCTGAACCCATATATGTTTCATTAACAAGCTGCCATTATGTGCAGATGAGAGAAAAGCTGAATCATCCTAAGCTGATGCAATGAGGTGAAACCAGAAAGAGCCCAGGTGCAGAGATGAGGTCACCTGGAACCCGATTGGACTGGACAGAGACAAGATTATGTATAAATATGGACTGTGTCTGTGATAGGTTTTCTTCTGATGTGATTTTCTGCTGTCGGACTGTGTGAAGACTTCTAGATGTGCTGTAGAGACCTGCCTGTATATAAGTGTACGTATATGTAAATATAACCGTCAAAGAAGAACTGGTAAAGTGTCTTCATTTACTCTGCGCCAGAAGCATAACACATGCAAATAACTTCCATTTGCTTAGGAACATAAGAACAGTCTGTTTGCCCAGGGGATGTCTTTGCAAAGACAGCGGGGGTGGGGGATTGCTTGGGTCCCCCTTCCCTCCTTTGGCCCTTGAAAATGTGTAAAATATATGATGTGGCGCTCATAATGAAAAGTTTGGAAACTCCTGGTTTAGGCCATAAGTAGAGTTGTCTACATTTGTGGCTATGCTGTCTGGACAATTAGTACAAAAACAGAAATAAGTGCACCTCTAGCTCTAGCAATCAGTTTGCTTCCTTTAACAAGAGCAAATGAAAAACTCCACGTCAAGTTGTTTAGAGGCTGTGTAATTTCCTGTCTTGCACAGGAGGAGGGGAGTTCTTCCAAGGTTAACTGAAAAGACACACAGCGTTAGGTCTTGCCTATTTTTGCTTTTGCATATTCCATTGAAAACCCATATACATTTCATATTTCAAACAAGTTAAAATGTGAATATTTAACTCTTAGTTCCTGCAGGTGTTACTAGTTAATGACGATTTCTGTTTCAAATTATAAAGGTAGTAGTAACTACATTTAATCTCCACCATAATTTCAAATATAGATTGTACCTTTTATTAAATAATTAGAAATACTTTTTAATTTGGAATGCTATCAAAACTCCTCCATCTTTACAAATGGCTATGCTTTCTCTAATTCAATATGCACCACTGGATAATGAATTTTTGGTTTAAGGTATATTCCCTTCTCAGCTTCATGCATTTAGTAAATGAACAATTTTCTTAGATCAAGAAGTCGATTTGCTTTATAGACATTCCTCTTTTAATTAAAAAATGTTCTTGCTCTTCATATCGGTCCCATTCTGCAATTCAGTTACTTCATTGTTCATGTTAAAAATGATGGGTTTACAGCTTTCAGAAAATGGCCATTCTCCATTGGTGTATAAATGTCTTTTCCATCACCATGGTACTGTCCATCTCATCTGTTCCTCCCTGTAGAAGCCACATACAATGAGGAAATAGCTTCACAATACCTATCAAAAGAGCTTCACAAACTATGGCTTTCATTTTGATGCAAACGATATCTGAATTGTCAGAGATACTAGAAAGTGTGTTTCCATTCTATGTCAGTGCAAACATAGGGAAGTGGTGAGTGGCTGATCAGAAGTGTTGGAATCACTGAGGTCTTAGCCACGGAGTTAATAGTGTGGCTGGCCAAGGAACCTGCTTTGCCTTGCCCCTTTCCAGCCAGCCAGACGGGCCCTCAGCAGGAATGCTGCAAGGCGAATGCACACTTCTTGTAGGCAGCATAAAGCAAGAGAACTGCACGGAGCATCTGCCGGCACATGGCCATGGCCACGCACACTTGTGGCTCCCGGAGCCCATGAGGCCAACGCTGTTGGGGGCTGACAACTTGACAGAAAGCTGAGCATTCCGAAACCCTCAATGAGCCAGTCCAGCGGGGAGGCTGTGCTGTCACCAGGCGCCCAAAGACGGAGTCAAGCCCAGTGAGGTGAACAGCCTGAGGTCTGCGCACAGCCCCGGCATGCCCCCGTGTCTCTCCAGCTGCTCCAGGGGGTTGGGGCTGCCCTGCTCCTGTTTTAGCACCAGGCTCGAACACCAGGCTGAGTCCCTGAAAGCAAAGTTGCACTTCCAGATCAGCAGCGGTTGGGCTCTGCCCTCTCCTGAGAAGATGCTTGGCATGATTGGTCTTAGGCATGGTGCCCCGAAGCCACTGCAGGGATTCATCCAGTGGGGACCAGGGTGCCCATAACTGGTATCCACCAGCCATGATTAGAGCCACCTGGCTGCCATAACTATGTGCTGCCTACATGTCTGGCACCTTTTCCTCCACTTGGTGCCCTTGGCAACTCCTTATGAGGTCAGTCAACCTAGAATCCTTCCACCAAGTCAACATTCTAGATTTTCCTGCCCCAGGGTGGCTTGTCCTGAAAGAACAGATTATTTGTTTTGTCAAACCAGATTTCCTGGTAGGGTACAAGAATTTAACCGCAGAAGCCTGTGCTGCAGGGTCAGAAGACCAAGCAGTCGTAAGATCGAATCCACCCAACGGAGTGAGCGCCTGTCGCTTGTCCCAGCTCCTGCCAACCTAGCGGTTCGAAAGCATGCAAGTGCTAGTAGATAAATAGGGACCACTTCGGTGGGAAGGTAACAGCGTTCCGTGTCTAAGTCGCACTGGCCATGTGACCACGGAAGATTGTCTTCGGACAAACGCTGGCTCTATGGCTTGGAAACGGGGGTGAGCACCGCCCCCTAGAGTCGAACACGACTGGACAAAAATTGTCAAGGGGAACCTTTACCTTTATAGTCTTCCTGCATCTCTTCAACTCTGTGGGTTTGATTCTAAATCAACAACAGACTGATCCACATCAATCACATCCCGGTCAACTGTATGTCTTTGTGTGTAAAAACTGAGTGACCTGTAGCTAGAATAGCTGGAGGCCTTTCTCCTAAATGGGCTTTCCTGTCAGTTCACATCGTCTTCTGCATGCTTTTTGATTCCAGAAATTAGATAAGTACTTCCTGGTAAAAGGGTCTTTTCAGCAGTGGTATCTCATGGGGGCAACATCACTCAGCTCCAGCATAAATATATTTTAAGTGCCAGAAGAAATCCATCCTCTCAAAACACATTTTAAACACAAGACAAGTTGGACCAAAATTTGGCTGCAGTAAAAATCATGTCCAGGAGGTACACCAACACCTTAAAAGCATCAAAAGAACAACAGAATGGGCCACAGCAATAATAAATGGGTCTTTCCTTGAGGGCAGGTTTCCATCTGCCCTCAAGGAGACACTCATTAGGCCCATAAGAAAGAAACCTAATATGGCGGTGGACGAAATTGGCAATTATAGGCCCGTCGCCAATGTTTCTTTCATGAGCAAAGTGGTCAAGAGGGTGGTGGCCGACCAGCTTCAGGCCCATTTGGATGAAACAGACACCCTGGATCCATTTCAGTTGGGCTTCAGGCTGCGCCACGGTACAGAGACAGCATTGGTCACCCTGTATGGTGACCTGTTGGGGGAGGCTGACAGGGGCAAAATGTCTCTGTTGGTCCTCCTCGACATCTTGGCGGCCTTTGATACCGTCGACCATGGTATCCTCCTGGGGAGGCTCTCCGAGTTGGGCATCGGTGGCTTGGCTCTTGCCTGGTTCCGTTCCTTCTTGGGGGACCGTTCCCAGAGAGTGCAGCTTGGGGAGAGTGTGTCAGCCCCATAGAGTCTCAATTGTGGGGTGTCACAGGGGTCGATTATCTCCCCAATGCTCTTCAACATCTATATGAGGCCACTGGGTGGGGTCATCAGGGGTTGTGGGGCATCGTGTTATCAATAAGCTGATAACACCCAGCTCTACATATCCTTTTCACCAACTGCAGGTGATGCCGTCCTGTCCCTCCAGTGCTGCCTGGGGGTCATACTGCAATGGCTGCAGGAAAATGGGCTGAGATTGAATCCGGACAAGATGGAAATTCTGAGGGTGGGTGGCCCCGTGGTTGGCGGCTTGGGTGACTCTCTCACGTTTGGGGGGGTGACCCTGGCCGCAAAGAGTGGGGTCCGCAGCCTGGGGGCACATCTGGACCTGACACTCACCATGGAAACGCAGGTGGCGTCAGTAGTCCGTACCACCTTTTTCCACCTTTGGCGGATTGCCCGGCTACGGCCCTATCTCGACACGGGGGCACTCACTACCGTGGTGCATGCGCTCGTAATCTCAAGATTAGACCACTGTAACGCGCTCTACGTGGGGCTGCCTTTGAGGCTGATGCGGAAACTTCAAGTGGTGCAGAATGCAGCGGCCAGACTCCTCAGTGGAGTGAGAAAATACCAGCATATTTCTCCTACCCTGGTCATGTTGCACTGGCTGCCCATTCATTTCTGTATCGACTTTAAAGTTTAATGCTCACTTATAAAGCCCTAAACGGTTTACGACCTCGATATTTGGCGGAACGCCTGCTCCCACCAAGATCTACTCGGATCACCCGTGCGAGCCAGGAGGTGAGGCTGAGGAGCCTGACCCCGAGAGAGGCCCGGAAGGAAAAAACACGAAACCGGGCCTTCTCGGCGGTGGCTCCTCGCCTCTGGAATAATCTCCCTCCTGAGATTCGTGCGGCCCCCACTCTGGGCACATTTAAAAGTCAATTAAAAACATGGCTGTACATTCAGGCCTTCCCTCCAGCTAATATCTGATTTTTCTTTTTATTCTTCCTTTACTTTTTTTCTATTCTATCTTTATATTGTATTTGTTATAGTATGCTTTATTTAATATTTTGTATTACAGTGGTGCCCCGCATAGCGACGATAATCCGTTCCGGAAAAATCGTCGCTATCCGGATTCGTTGCTATGCGGAACCAAAAAGCCCATAGGAATGCATTAAACCCTGTTTAATGCATTCCTATGGGCTTAAAACCCACCGTTATGCGAAAATCCTCCATACGGCTGCCATTTTCGCTGCCCAGTAAGTGAGGAAAGGGTGCGAAAACACTGTGGGCGGCCATTTTTTCCCCGGCGGTCTTTTTGGAACCACCGATCAGCTGTTTTTAAAACATCGCTATGCGAAAATCGGTAAGCGAAACAGCTTACTGATCGTCGCAAAGCGATTTTTTGCCATTAAAAACATCGCAATGCGATCGCTTTTGCGATCGCAAAAAACAAATCGCTATGTGGATTCTTCGTTAAACGGGGCGCTCGTTAAGCGAAACACCACTGTATTTTATTGTTTTATTATATTGGAAGCCACCTAGAGTGGTCTTATAGGCCAGAGGGGGGGTATAAATCAAATAAATAAATACTGTAAATAAATTTTAATGTTAGGATCACTGATGAGGCCACAAACCAACAGACAGTACTTTTCTGGATGGTTTGCAACTACACTAACCATGGTCAGCAATGGCCTTGTCCTGATGAATCCACCCACAATCAGCCCTTTTGAAATCCAAAATTTAGGTCATCTAATCTGATTGTGACAACACCAGCACTTTGGTTGACTGGGTGGGGACCACTGCTGCACCCACCTCCTCTGTGCATTTGGTCCAGTTTGACCCTGAAACAATGGAGGAGCTTTCCAGGATGTGGCTAGTTGAAGGCGTACTACCCCCTTGCTTGAGCCTTGCCGAGCCTGGCTTATAAAATGGCGCTCGTTAAGCGAACACCACTGTATTTTATTGTTTTATTATATTGGAAGCCACCTAGAGTGGTCTTATAGGCCAGAGGGGGGGTATAAATCAAATAAATAAATACTGTAAATAAATTTTAATGTTAGGATCACTGATGAGGCCACAAACCAACAGACAGTACTTTTCTGGATGGTTTGCAACTACACTAACCATGGTCAGCAATGGCCTTGTCCTGATGAATCCACCCACAATCAGCCCTTTTGAAATCCAAAATTTAGGTCATCTAATCTGATTGTGACAACACCAGCACTTTGGTTGACTGGGTGGGGACCACTGCTGCACCCACCTCCTCTGTGCATTTGGTCCAGTTTGACCCTGAAACAATGGAGGAGCTTTCCAGGATGTGGCTAGTTGAAGGCGTACTACCCCCTTGCTTGAGCCTTGCCGAGCCTGGCTTATAAAAGCTGCCAAAGGGACTATGGTGGACTGGGTTGTGAATATTGTGAACTCTTTGCTAAGGGAGGGATTTCTTCCCTCACCTGAAAAAGAAACTATCATCTTACTCATTATTAAATGCCCTCAGCTGGTGACAGATACTGTAACAGCTTTCATCCAATCACCCTTTATGGGCAAGATGAAAGCATGTGATGGCTAAGCAGCTCCAGATATACCTGGAGGAGGACTACCTCAAACCATCCCTAAACTGGACTCTCTGGACGCAGTCCTCGAGGACAGACTGGAGCCAGCTAAACGCTGGCCCTTCAATCTAATCTCCGAGAGCCTGGAGAGCTTGGGGACGATTTATGAGTTGCCCTAGGCTAAGCAACAGAACCCGGACAAGATGAAGATTCTGTTTCTGGGAGGCTTTTCCAATAGGTTGGAGGAGGGATGACCCCTGGCATTGCCCTTCCCTTTAGGGATCAAGTTTGTACAGTAATTTGGGCATTCTTCTGGATACAGTTATTTCTTGGGATTCTCAGACTTAGAGCTGTGTCCAGATCTGCCTTTAACCAGCTGAGGCTTATAGCCCAACTCCGCTCCTGCCATGATGAGGGCTCCCTCGGGACACTGATCATCTCTCAGATTGACTACTGGAATGTTCTCTACGTGGAGCTTCCCTTAAAGCTGACCTAGAAACTACAGTGGGTCCAGAACGCGGCAGCCAGAATGGTGGCCTGTGTGAGCAAATTTGGTCACATTGCTCCAGTTCTGGCTTGTCTCCACTGGTTACCTGTCCTGTCCCAGATCAGGTTCAAAGGTTTGATGCTGCCCTTCACAGTTTGGGACCACACTACTTGTTGGAGCTTCCCTCCTCAGTGCCATCTGCCCAGCCACCAGATCCTTCCAGGCTACGCTCCTCTGGGTAGCCACGCCAAAGGAGGCCTGTAAGTCCTCCACGAGCAGCCGACACTTCTTTACGGTGGCACCGAGTTTGTGGAGCCAGCTCCCAGTGGAGCTATCCCTGTCAATGTGTAGAAGGCAAATTAAAATGCTACTTTTCCGGGAGGCCTTCCACACTAATCCTGAGAATTTGCCTTTGGTGCCACTTGTTTTTACCTTGCCAAATATTTTTTGTATTTGTGATGGCTTTCGCGGCTGGGATCTAATGGCTGTTGTGGGGTTTTGGGGCTCTTTGGCCGTGTTCTGAAGGTTGTTCTTCCTAACGTTTCGCCAGTCTATGTGGCCAGCATCTTCAGAGGACTGCACTCTGTGCTCTGGTGT